TGACAAAAATAATATAAACTTTTAAAAATTATTCAGGTTTAACAAACATTTACAATGGAAGAATACTTTCTTAAAAAAAAAGTAGCATATAAATGCATTTCACCACATGGTCCAAAGAGACCATCACAAAGTTTCAAATTTCAAGGTATTTGAAAAGCTCACAGAAAAGCCACAGTGGTCATAAGAACAAAGAAAAAAGGGGTAAAGAACTGAATAGGGAAAATAATAAGTTGGTATTACTAAAAAAAAACAAAAAACAAAACAAAAAAAAACAGAAAAAATGTATTTTATACAGAATTTTAAACATATTCATGAAAAGATTAAAACATTAGATATGAAGAAGTTAGGAAGACAAGAAAAAAATTCTCAGGTAAGATAAAGACCTTTAAGAGGTCAGAAACAAGCTTGAAAGAACATTGACAAAACTGAAGGAAAAAAAAAGGAAAACACAGCAACAGGTGTGACAGCAAAACCTACTGGCATTTACCTCTTTGACTCTCATATTTCATGCATTGCCTTACTCAAACTCAATGAATGTTCAGTGATGATTATTGCTGAAAAGGTGAAAGAAAGACTAGATCAAATGAAGACAACCAGCAAGGAGCAAAAAGGCAAAAATAAAAAACCATTTCTGAAAGATGAGGCATGATTGTTCATTAGAGCTGATTCTCAATACTGTCTCAAGATTTATGATAAGCTGCCCCCTCCCAAAAAATAAGTTTCTCTAATTCTAGCCATTCATCTTTCCACTCACTTGAAACATTATTTAAGCTTAACACTTCCATACATCTTCCTGGACTAGCCTAATTTTGATTCAAGAATTTCAATCATTCAATTAATCTGCTTTATTCTATTCATGTAAGTTATTAACTGTCATAGTCCCTCTTATTTCCTTAGGCATAGTACTTTCCACAGATATTTCAGTTCCTTATTTACTGTAATCATTGTCTACACTAATAAATTCTAAGCTTTTGAGAGGGTTACAGCCAACTCTGTCTTGTGTCTTTTGTAACAGAATGTGGGACACATAGTAAACACGCAATAAATATTTATTAAATGAATAAGTGAATGAAAGCTATGTATGCACTATATCATTGTAGTGTGTGTGTGTGTGTGTGTGTGTGTGTGTGTGTGTGTGTTTTATCTCATCATTAGTTAATTCTATCTTCCCAGTAGATTCTAAATTGCTCTAGGGGCAATAATTTAATTTTAGAATATAACCATAATATTCTGTGGTACTTAGATATAGCTTAGGTCACTAATATGAAAATCCTAAAAATTCAGAGACAAATAAGATCAAGGGAATTAAAAAAGAGTTGGCTAAATAAACAAACAACCCAACTAACAAATGGGCAGAGGACATGAGCAGGCACCTCTCCCAAGAAGACATGCAAATGGCCAACAGATATGTGAAAAGATGTTCAACCTTATTAATAATTAGGGAAATGCAAATCAAAACTACAATGAGATACCACCTCACACCTGTTAGAATGACTATTATCAACAAGACAAGTAATAACAAGTGTCGGAGAAGTTGTGGAGAAAAGGGAATCCTCATTCACTGCTGGTGGGAGTGTAGACTGGTACAGCCACTATGAAAAATAGTCTGGCCATCTCTCAGAAAAATTAAGAATAGAGTTACCATATGACCCAGCAATCCATCTCCTGTATATATGCCCAGAAAACTAAAAAATGTATATTTGAAACAATATATGCACCCCTATGCTCATTGCAGCATAGTTCATGGTGACAAAGGCATGGAGACAATCAGAGTGCTCTGCGATAGAAGATTGGATAAATATGTGGTACATACACAATGGAATAACTACTCAACCATAAGAAAAAATGAAACACTGCCACTGGGATAACATGAATGGGCCTTAAGAATATTATGCTAAGTGACACAAGCCAGTCAGAAAAAGCTAAGAACTATATGATTTCATTCATATGTGGGATATAAAACTGAAACTTGTGGACACAAACAGCAGTGTGGAAGGGGGTGGAGGTAAAGGTTGGTGTGGGCGAAGGAGACCTAATATATGGTGCTGTAAGATGATTTGACTTTGGGTAGTGGATACACAGTGCAATATACAAATCTTGCATCATAGAAATCGACACCTGAAATCTATATGATCCTATTAACCAATGTCACCCCATTAAATTTCATTTAAAAAAATAGTTGGCAAAGAAACCAGTAAAAGAGCCAGGTAAATATAATCCTAGGATAAGAAAAAATTAGCAGAAGTATACTGTAGCTATTGCAAATGTTATCCACTATTAAAAGCACAATTTACTAATATGATCCCAAATTAAAAATGTGTTAATGGGTGGCAGTCATCCACACATTAGTTTATGGACAGGCAAGTACTAAAATGACAAACTAAATAAGAATGTGACTTTTTTACTAACACTACAACCAAGGGTCTTAAGCCCCCGCTACATCTATAGCTATAGCTACCTTTAGGTATAGTACTTGATCAATCACCATGAAATCAAACATTTAATGTATTTCTACCTTGCTTATGTTTATGCTAGTGACAGGAATGAAGTTTTTGCTCATGCTTTTAATTTATCCTGCAAACTATAGTTCAACAAACATTTGGGTTTTATTTCATTTTTCTAATTCAATAGCTGGTGGCTTTTGTTTGCTCTGTATGGAAATTCCTAAATTACTGCTATAAATATCAAAATAAAATTTTAATTATTAATAACAACAGCTAACTTTTACTAAGTACTTATGACTTTCAGGCACTATTATCTTTTAATCCCCACAACAAATCTATGAGGGAAATACTATTATTATTCCTATTTTGCTTTGCACAGAGATTAATTTAAACTGTTCACATAATCAGTAAGAGGTGGAGTCTGGATTCAAACCTATGCAGTCAGTTTCCAGAGTTTATGCTCTTAACCACAATGCTAACACAGTTTATATTTCTGAAATATTAATTTTTACATGAAATGGATAAATTACTTTCTTAAAATAAGGTAGTAAGAAATAAACCTATTCTGGTACCCATCACTAAAACTCTAGAGAATGTGGCAAAATAGCTGGTGCTTCGTTTTTCTGAGAGGTGTTCCTACCCTCAGAGATCTTACAATCCAATTAGAAAATCAGAATATACATTTGAAATGTATAACAATACCCTGTAGGATAGGATGAATGCAAGTGAGTAGTACACACAGGGCTTGCTATGAAAGTTGAGAGGAAGAAAGTGATTTCCAAGGACTGGGAGATCATAAAAGGTCTGATAAAAGAGATAGATCTTAAAGAAGGGATAAAAATCATAGGAGGAAGAAAAAAGCTAGGATATTATAATAAGTAAGGGGAACCTCGTGAATTATAGATGAAGTACTAAGAAAAGATTCAATCTATAATATCTATAATAATGAAAGCATAATATGCTAATTAGACCGGACATCCTTCTGGACGACCTTCCAGATGAAGCTGGGGCTGCAAGGGAAGCCCAGGTCCTGGGTGCCAGAGGGAAGCCGGTGCCAGCAGTTGGGGGAAGGAAGGCTTACTCTTGCATGAATTTCGTGCATCGGGCCTCTAGTTGTTTATATGTTTTATGTATTAGGTAATAGTGATGAGGTTGGAAAACTAAGGATCATATTGGGAAAGTAACTGAATACCAGATTAAGGAGTTAGGACTTTATTCTCTTGACTACCTGCTCTGTTCAATACAGTAGTCACTAGTTAGATGTGGCTATTGAGCACTTGAATGTGGTTAGTCCAACTGCACTGTGCAGTTAAAATACACACCAGCTTTGAAGACTTAGTATGAAAAAAAGAATGTGTTATGTTTTTGTGTCTCCTATGGAGAACCTAATCTACACTTATAGCTTGAGATTTTTTTTTTTGCTTTACTGTGTCATTCAGTTATTCTTTATAGTTCATACCATCATTAAATAATTGGCTATATTGAAATATTTTATTGAATGTGCTTAGGTTTATCCTGATTGCTCCTCAAACTGAGATTTTGTAGAAGAAAAATAATTTAAAAAAAGAAGGAAAGCAAATCTAAGCAGTAACAACAAAACAATCTTAACATTCCAAGTGAAATTAAATCATGCTGCCAAGAAATGCCATACAGTTTCTGCCTCTGGGCACAATGCAAGGAAGAAAGGCCAACATAAGGTAAGCAGCGCAAAGAAGATACAAGGTAAAAGCATAACGGAAATAAAGAGAGATGGAAGAGGGGAAAAAAACTAACCAAAAAGTTAACCGAGCTGTTTACTCTCCTTTTTCTGTAAGCTTCACAGACTGCTGCCCTGGGAATATACAGACTGCCCTGGGAATATGCAGACTGCTAAAAACCATCTTCTGCTGCTCTCACAATTAGCTATTTGGACTAGATCTTTGGTTTGTTTCTTCAACTACAAAGTGAGAAAATAACACCTGCCTTACCTTCCTCAGTGGGTTAAAGTAAAAGTGAAGCGAGAGAGTAAATGTGAAAGGACTTGGAAGTGTGTGTGTGTGTGTCTTTTAAGCCAGTTGCTAAAATCTAAAAGTAACAATTTGGCTGAACATCTTTCCCAGAAAAAAAAATTTTTTTTATCTGAAAAAACAAACTATACGGCATAGGTTTTATTTCTCTTAATGTTCGAATGAGAACATTCTAAGAGACGTATAGGGACTTGAGAGGAATCAGTTCTCATTCTTCACCCCCCCCCTCCCCCCGCCCCGCCATAGTGCATTCACCAACCACAAAACGGGGAGCAGCGCCGGGTAGAACGCTTTGGGGATGGCGGGGGCAGCCGGAGGGATGGGGGCAGGCTCGCTGGGACAGGAGAGAGAAGAGAGGGTAACGGATCAGGGAGAAGAGGGAGTTTAGAAGGAAGGGAAAGATGCCTTTCCCTATAGCTCAAGCACTTACTGCTGCGAGTAAACTCCTTAGAAGCGTCGACTGGGTACCATAGCAGTGACTGGTTACCATAGCCACCGCGTCCCGGAGGGTGGAGCGACGCTTCCGCGTAGTGCCTCGGCCACTACGCCTCGACTGGAAACGTGGTCACGTAAGTGCAATAACTTCCGGCGGAAAAAGAAGCCGGTTCCGAGTTTTGGCCGACCGGTAGCGAGGAGTCTGTTCCGACGCCTCTATGAAGTTTGGTAAGTTGATTTTGAGTGGAGCCAGGGGAGGGTACTCGCCTGTGGCTGACGATAGAGCCGCCTGTGAGTTCACTGTATTCCGAGGACCCATTTTTGAGGAGGCCTCGCTGTCTCCTGAAGTTCATAGCTGCGGGCAGAGGTTGCCTGGTGTCCGGGCTCCTGGCGGGGTCTCTGCTGTAGCCTGGAGACTCCCGACAGTATCCTTGGGGGACGGTGTCAGGGGGCTCTGCCCGCTCCCCCAATAGCAGGGGGATTCTTGCTCGCTACCTCCAGTGTGATGGGCTGTTTCTCGTATTATTCTTAAAAAATAATTTGGAAGAAAAGAAGTGAATTGGGACATTTAAGAGGGAATGCTCCCAAATTCATCTTAATTCTTTGGTCTTTTGCTTTGCTTTAAAAAAAAAATCGTTTTGTAAACATTTCTTAAGCCCCTTTAGTGTGTTTAGTGAGTACTTACTGTGTGCCACGTTTACCATAAGACCAGCAGAAATACCTTCTTAGAGGGTCATCCATCACTCGGGTTCATGACCGAATTCAATTGTTTTCAATGCTGTTGTATATTCCTTAATTTAAGACTTAAGAAGCGTATAGCATGAAACATCCAACAAGTTTTCCATACATATCTGTACTGTTATACATGAAATTCTTGGAGTGTTTTAAATTTTTTAAGTTTATGTTAGAGAGAGAGGAAGGGAGGGAGAGAGAGAGAGAGAGGTACATCAGTTTGTTGTTCCACTTATTCATCCATTCATTGGTTGATTCTTGTATGTACCTTGATCAGGTATCGAACCCACAACCTTGGCTTATTTGACAATGCTTTTTAACAAACTGAGCCACTCAGTCAGGGCTCCTAGGGTGTTTTAAACAAAAATATATGCTTCATCAGGTTTGCATTATAATAATGATTTACTCAACTGAATATCTAAATGTTAAGGAACTGAGAAAAGCAGTACTTGCTTATTTCATACATACAAGCAAACTGTAATGAATTTAATTAATTGTCATCAATATTTTTATTCAGCTGATCAGAGAAGGCCCACTTGTTCAGTGGATGATGGCATTTGGGCAGATACCAAAAAAGGATTGGTACAGCATTCTGGGGGCAAACCCATCTGCAAGTATGGCTGACCTAAAACAAAAGTATCAAAAACTCATATTAATGGTAAGTCTGTTCTTTCAGATTTTAAATCATTGGGGAGGGGGTGGGGGAAGGGGAAACCAGTTATTTTTATATGACCAGAAATTTGTTTCCATAAAATGGATATATGATATTATATCCATGGTATTAATATGGTGAATTGAACCTTAGCTGGTTTGGCTCAGTGGATAGAGCATCTGCCTGTGGACTGAAGGGTCCCAGGTTCAGTTCCGGTCAAGGGCACATGCCCAGGTTGCAGGTTGGATCCCCAGTAGGGGGCTTGCAGGAGGCAGCCAATCAATGATTCTTTCATCATTGATGTTTCTCTCTCTCTCCCTTTCCCTTTCTCTCTGAAATCAATAAAAATATATTTAAAATATATATATATATATATATGGTGAGTTGAAAGTTTCAATCATATTGTAAAAAAAAAGTTAGTTTGTGGTGAGATAGAATGGCGATTTGGAACAGGAGATCTGAGTTACCCTGTTTCTACCACTAACTGTGAGAACTTGGACAAGTTACTTTTTCCTGTATGTGCCTCTGTGAGGTATAATGAAATAATCCATGTAAAATGCTTAAAAGTGTGTCATGTAATAAGCATCATTAGCATCCAGCAGCCACTAGTTATATATGGCTATTGAGCGCTTAAAATGTAGCTTAGTTCAAACTCAGATATGCTGAAATAAATATAAAATACAAGTTGGATTTTAAAGACTTAGTACAAAAAAAATCTATTGTTTTGCTGATTACATATGGAAATGATAATATTTTGGATGTATCATCTGTTCCACATTTAAACAATATATGTGAATATATTTGAACACATAAGGAAATATATTATTAAAATTGATCTCATCTTTTTACTTTTTTAACATTGTATGTGTCTCGCAATTATATTTTCTTTTCTTTTTTTAATTGTTTTTTTTTTAATTTTGCAATTATATTTTCATGAGTGGATATTGAACTTTGTTAGATTTTTAAAAAATATTTATTGAAGTTTGCATATATTAATTTCCTCTTCTAATCTGTGAGTTCCATTGGTTTTTCATAGTGTTAAATCTATTTTGCATTCTTAGGATAAACAAATCTCACTCATTCATGAATTATTATAGTTTTTATATGTTGCAGTATCCTAATTGCTGTTATTTTGTTAAGAATTTTTATGTCTAGATTTATGATGTCTGTGTCTAAATATAGTATAACAGATAATGCTGGTTATATAAAATAATTGGGGAGTGATTCCATTTTTTCATTTCTGAAAGATTGTATGAGATAGCCTTTATTTTTTTTATTTAAATGTTTAATAGAATTTACTAGGCAGTTATCAAGAATTTGTCCATTCCTTTATGAAGTTAAATTTATTATTATTATGTTCATAATATCTTTTTATTCTTAAATTGCTATAAGGTATAAATTTATGTTTTCCCTTTTATTCTTTACATTGGCAATTTAAAAAAAAAATTTTTTTTCTGGATCAGTCTTGGTAGAGATTTATCTCTTTTATTAATCTTTGCCAAGAACCATCTTTTACTTTGTTGATTTTTTGGTATTGTTTGTCTATTTTTCCTCACATGATTTCTGCTTTTAATTTTATTATATCCTTTCTTCTACTTACTTGCTTCTCATTTTCCAGCTTATTAATGAAGAAACTTTCATTGTTGATTGTACACCTGTCTTCTTTTCTAAGCCAGAAGCACAAATTTTGATGTGTATATTCATTATCATTTAGTTCAAAATATTTGAAAATTTCTCCAGTAATAGTTTTCTTTGTCCTGTGGGTTACTAAGAAATACATTATTTAACTTGAAAATGTTGGAAAACGTTCAGATCTTTCTATTACTGATTTCCAATTTAATTGTGTTGTGGTTAGAGAATGTGCTTGGTATGCTTTCATTCCTTTGGAATTTATTAAATCTTTTTTTATGGCCTAGCATATGGTCTATCTTGGTGAATGCTTCTAATCACTTAAAAAATTGTGTACTCCATTATTGAATATAGTGTTCTGTAAATATCTACTAGGTTATGTTGATATGTTGTTCAAATATTCTATATTATTGTAGATTTTTTTATCTGTTTTATCAGTTTGTAATTGTAGATTTTATTATTTTTTTCTTTAATTCTATTAAAATTTTTAATGTATTTGGGATTATTCTTATTAGGTACATATATATTAAAGATTGTCATCTTCATGAATTTGAATCTTTGATCATTATAAAATTCCCTTCTCTATTTCTCATAGTACTCTTCTTGGCATCTACTTTGATATTAATATTGCTACACCAGCTTTCATGTACTGTGTTTTGTGATTTCTTTTTTACCATCCTTTTAGTCTGTCTCTTTTATGTTTAAAGTATGTTTTCTTGTACATAGCGAATAATTAGGGTTAAAAAATTCCCATGTGTCCATCTCTTGCTTTTTTATTGGGAGAGTTTAGTCCATTTACATTCCTCCCCACCCTCACCAGCTTTATCTATAATAATAAAAGCATAATATGCTAATTAGACTGGACATCCTTACGGAAGAAACCAACCAAGTGACAAATTGGACCTTCGATTACAATGGGTCAACACAGATTGGGTAGAGGGAAAACATGTGTTGTGAGCTGTTCAAGCCAGGGCTGCTAGGGAAGCCCGGGCCCTGGGTGCCAGAGGAAAGCTGGTGCTGGCAGCTGGGGGAAGGAAGGCCTACTCTTATACGAATTTCATGCATCGGGCCTCTAGTTGAGATATAACTGGCACATATCATTGTGGAAGTTTAAGGTGTACAATGTGATAATTAATACACATCTATTTTGTGATATGATAACCACAGTAAGGTTTGTCATCTCACATAGTTACCACTGTGTGTGTGTGTGTGTAGAACCTTTAAGATTTACTCTCTTAGCAACTTTCAGGTATACAATGCAATATTGATAACTGTCGTCACTGTACTGGACACCAAATCTCCAAATTGATCTTATAATTGGAAGTTTGTATTCTATGACCATCTTATCTCCCCCACTCCCTAGTTCATTTACATTTTATGTAATTATTAGAGGCCTGGTGCACGGATTCATGCACTGGTGGGGTCCCTCGGCCTGGCCTATGGGGATCGGGCCAAAAACGGTTTTCTGACATCTGTGAGGGGTTCCGAATTGTGAGAAGGCGTAGGCCAGGCTGAGGGACCCCACTGGTGCATGATCGGGGTTAGAGGAGGGACCGTGGGAGGGCTCCAGGGCGTGTCTGGCCCATCTCACCCAGTCCCAATCAGCCGGACCTTAGCAGCAAGCTAACCTATGGTTGGAGTGTCTGCCCCCTGGTGGTCAGTGTGCATCATAGCGACTGGTCAAACAGTTGAATGGTCAGACACTTAGGCTTTTATTATATAGGATTGACAATCTTTGGGCTTAAATCTGTAATCTTTTAGTTTTTAGATTTGTCTAATTTGCTCTTTGTTCCTCCATTTTGCCTTCCTTACCATCTTTTGGGTGAATCAAGTATTTTTTCAAGAATCAAGTATTCTAGCCCTGAACGGTTTGGCTCAGTGGATAGAGCATCGGCTTGCAGACTCAAGGGTCCTGGGTTCGATTCCAGTCAAGGGCATGTACCTTGGTTGCAGGCATGTCCTCAGTGGGGAGTGTGCAGGAGGCAGCTGATCTATGTTTCTCTCTCATCGATGTTTCTAACTCTCCCTCTCCCTTCCTCTCTGTAAAAATTCAATAAAAAATTAAAAAAAAGAATCAAGTATTCTATTTGTCAAGTTTTTAGTTTAATTGTGCACCATTTTCACTTGATCCTCTATTATACTTATCACTAGAGGCCCTATGCACGAAATTTGTGCAAGGGGTTTGGCCCTTGCAGCCATGGCAGCTTGCCTTAGCCCTCATAGCTATGGCAGCTTGCCTTGGCCCTCGCCTCCCCGACTTTGTCCAGATGGTCATTCGTCTGTCTGGTCTAATTAGCATATTAGTTCCTGTTGGGGTCCATCCCCTGCAGGTCCAGGGGTTCCCAAAGGTGTGGACGGAGTCGGCGAAGAAAGAATGACACGGATGCAGCTTTCAGTTGATCAGCATAGTTGGGTTCTCCAGCCAGGTTCAGTCTTTATTGTCCTGTTACATCTGTATTTATACCAGTTGATTTTAATCCTATCCATTCTATTCCAGAGGTTAGGGAGTTTCTTATCTCCATTCCAAGGTTACTCTATTGTTCTATTAAGCTACAAGGAAGTAACTGAAGGAGATTATCCTAAATAAAGATTATGTAGCTTAAGCTTGATTGTTTGTAGTTAAAATGATTAACTACCCACCTGGCACTTAGTTAAGGGATTTTACTGACTCCCTTCCTTAGTCCCAAACAACCTTTCTCAGAGAGGTGACCTTGGTTAAAACACATAGCGCTAAGAAGGGGAGCAAACATATTAAGAACAGTATGCCATATACCCCAGGTCTCTTGAAACATATGCTGTGCAGATGTTTCTTCCCTGCAGCGACTGTGTCAAACAGCAAGGATGGACCGGCTTCCGGCAAGTTTCTATCTGATAATTTGAACATCTGGGTCTACTCTTTGTCAAATTCTATATTCTTTCATTATGATGGATCACATTTTCTTGTTTCTTTGCCCATCTTATTTTATATTAAATGCCAAAAAAATTGTTTGTGAATAAGTAGAGACTGAGGTAAATAATATATTCATGGGAATGGGCATGCCCCTTTTACAAGGCAGTTTGTGTGGCAAGTTAAGTCACTCTTATTTTCCTTTTGAGTTCTCTTTGTTTTTTCCCTTCCTTTGGTTGTAGAGATACTCTCTTTTCATATATTTGGTGACCCTTTGTTGTCTGCTCATATTTAAGAATTAAGTGTTACAAACTTATTTGGAGGTTCCTGTGCACAGCTAGGGGTTTTCATTAGGTAGGGCCAATCATTTTGTTGGAAGACCTCACATGTGCAGCATCTGAATCTATATCCCAGAGGGGAATTCTCAAATTGTCTGCCTGGGAAGATGGGAACTTGGATTCATACCACTCCCTATGTCAACTTTTTCCTT